AAGGGAGAACATGAGTCCCTAAAAATAAGTGAAGTTACATAGTCTTTGCTTGACATATTTGCTTGTACTCCGCCTTGCTGAGTTGTTCCCAGCAATCCTGTAACAATACACATTTGCAATACATATTTTATTGTAAACAATTTAAGAAGCACAGACCCGCCTTTTTCGATTCTCTTAAAAAAAGATTTTCTAAAAAAAAGGCACAGCTTCCAGACCCCATCTAGTGGCACGAACGCCTTACAACAGCCTCGTCATCCGAAACCATATTTAAGGCTTTTCAATGCGCTGTTTTTGAAAAAGAAACAATACACATGGTTTCAGTTTAACGTCCACCTGAAAGGCTAGAAATACTCACACGTTCTAAAAATAGCAGAATAAATTTCCTGAATCACTAGTCAACTTGTAATCACACTGAAATTATATTAGTACTATATTAATAGCCCTTCATATGCTATTTTTGAGGAGCCAGCCCACCACATTCAAATCTTATTAGTTACTGGCGTAGAAGCAGGGAATCTCAATTGCTGCACTGAATCTGAGACAAAAGAGATATCAAGCTGTGAATGAAGTTTGAGAAAATGCAAAATGAATCCGACTCTGTATCCTGACTCAGTCAGCAAGACTAATCAAATTATGACTATATGAAGTGAGCTAAACTTTCCACAATTCAGAGTTGTGCAACTGTCTCTAAATTTCTCCAGGCATGCCAAGAAATGCTGGCTTTTCAATTACTTCCTTCACTGTAGCAGCCAAGCATAAAGCACTCTCAGCTTCCCATTAGAAAGTTAACCAATTCCACAGCATATGAATAAAATCTGCTCATAATCAGGACTTTTTTCCTAGCCCTAAAAGTATTTCGATTTTAATTTGTAGAGGTGTTTAGTGTTGCCTGACTATAGAAGTGGGTAAAATCAACTTTCCTGGCTGGAGGTATGTAACAGCAAGCTAAGACAAATTCTCCCAATAACCCAATTGGAGAAGAGCCACATATTTTAGAGCAAAGTACCCTGATGTAAAAATCCTCAGATTTTCTGGTTAAATAAGTAGATGCAGCTCATTTGTTTCTGACAAGCAGTGGAATCTATATTTGAATTCTCTAACCTACAAGGATTTCACTACTCTATTCAATATTTTGAAGATTTAGAGCTATTAGTTTAAAAATGCACAATTAACCATATTCCACTGACTGCCATACAAGTTTAGAGGTTAACAGCAAATCTCCCCTTTTCTGACAGTGCATTATCAAGCTGAACAGAGTCAAAGAAAAACTTTACTTCACCTGAGGACCCCCTGCTAATTAAAACTGGAAATTCATCATCGAGCCTGATTCCCTTCAAATGAGTGAAATCCTGTGGATTTATCAAACCTCACCTACATCTGCAGCTGTTGGCTGCAATACATGTTATGTGAAGGTATTGCTAGCTACAGTAGTGCTACTGGCCACAGAAAGTCAGTCTTTGGAATTTCAAGCTTTTAATTTGCTGGGTTTTGCAGCTGAGCAACAGCAGGATTCCTCAGAACAGCCTCCAGTTAGGAAGCACACCACGTAGTGCCTGCATCAGTCTAACTCTGTCTCCATTCAAGAACTGACAGAGAACAGGACAGTAGTTGGGGTATGAGTTTTACATTTAGTGTTATATTAGCAGCAAATTATTAACTACATAGAGCCATATTTCCTGTACTGGAGGAGGGCTGCAGCCCTGCTTAACCCACTGGAAATTAAGACTTTGGCAATCCACAGCAAACACCTAAAATTATCTATACTTCTTCCCCTTCTTTTTACCCACTCAACCTCTAATCAAAACTCCACTACCACACATTGTGACAAAACAGTTGAAGCTTATCTGATCTACAAATTAATAAAATTTTTTCCTCATAAGACATAATGAATTGGCTCAAAATACATTAAAAAAAAAATTCCATATTTCTAGATTAGCAAATTAGATCTACAGAGACCAGTGGAAGTTTTGGCAAATGCTTTGTTACTTTAAAAAAGACTAAAAATCCAGTCTAATTTCTTTAAATATGAGTGACTCTGGTTTTGGCAGCCCACTAGAAGGACGCGGATTATTCTGAATTGTCCTCTTTCCTGAGAGTTTCCTGTGAAAAAAAATGCAGTGGCAGCAGAGTAATTTAGGGCCATTTTCTTTTCATAAGCCAAGCATATCCTGCTCACCATGTTTTGGGCACATTTCTATCAAGCAAAGGAGGAAAGCTAATGGCTGTCACCGCAAAATGGTAGGTGAGGGCAGACTTATCACCTGCATTCATTTATGTTACAGCTCAAGTCTGAGACTCTAAATATTAGACAACAGCATATACTCCGTGAGGAGCAGCCTTTCTCTTACTATTCACTTTTCTGAAGGTAGGCTGCAGGCAGGAAGCATGTGCCTATTTTACACAATGTACCACATGTAGTAGGTGCAAAAGCTTTAAACTCAGTGTTTAAGGGAACAGCTGCCTGGTACACATGGTGTGTGCCCAGCTGTACAATAAGAGTGTTGCACACATTTTCCTGCTTTGGGGAAAGTGGTGTGACCTATCCACCTCAGAATTTCAGCTCTATAGTCACATCCACATTAGACTTTTTAATTGGACAGGTTTACTTCAAACAGATTAGGACCAGAAAAGGGTAGTTCCTGTCCATCAGATGTAAATATACAAGCTTTCAGTAGTTTAATTTATTCAAGGCCTTTAAGATAACCTACACATTAAAACATAAGAAACCCTTTCCCTTCTTCTTTCATCATTAAAAAAAAAAATCTTCTGATTTGTCAAATGCTATTAAGACTTTTATACTGGTGCTACTTACTTGCCAAGAAGCAATTAAATTCTGTTGTAATTATTTTATATTTGGCATTTAAAAGAACAATGCCACAATACAGCTAAAAATTGTGTGTCCTTAAATTTGAGTACAGACTATTGTCCCATACAACAGTAGCCCCAACTAGCTCACAGTAAGCCTTTCACCTTGTGGTTAAGATCAAGGAAGAAGGCAGGATAGCATCCAGATTGGAGATCATCTGAGTTTCCATGACCCGATAGCTGCTAACACTCCAAGCAAATGCTCATTAACACTTTTATATAAATGATGAGAAACTTCTGGAGATCAGTGTCTTAGTAAGAATAGCTAAATATTATAGAAAGGTACTATTTCTGCTATTAGAAAGCAGCTGTTTGAATTTGTAATAGAAGAATTCCTTACTCAAGTTATGTGCTCCTGCATATACCACTGTCAATGTTTATATCGTTAATGATATTTAGAATAGAATCATAGAATCACTTAGGTTGGAAAAGACATCTGTGAAAAGTGAGTCCAAACATTAACCCAACACTGCCAAGTCCACCACTTAAACGTGTCCCTAAGTGCCATGTCTACACATGTATTAATATCTACAGGGATAGATATTCCTGGGCAGCCTGTTCCAGTGCTTGACAGCCCTTTTGGTGAAGAATTTTCTCTGATATCCAATCTGAAGCTCCCCGGTACAAACTTCAGGCCATTTTCTCTTGTTGGATCTCTTTTTACCTGGGAGAAGAGACCGACCCCCACCTCACTACAGCCTCCTTTAAGGTAGTTGTAGAGAGTGACCAGGTCTCCCCTGAGCCTCCTTTTCTCCAGGCTAAATGAACTCAGCTCCCTCAGCTGCTCCTCACAGGATTCGTGCTCTGGACTCTTCACCAGCTTCACTGCCCTTCTCTGGGCACTTCCACTCTTTATTCCTATTAGCCTTACATAACCTTTCCAGCTACATGGGTCGATGCTATTTCAATTTGCTACCCAAGTGAAAGACTTCATCTAAATTTTGCATTCATATAGGATTTACCAACATAATTCCTTTTATATTCCTACTCTGAGAATAAATGTCTGGAAAGAGAAATGTTTTGGTGCAACTCCCTTTTGAAAAAGAGACCAACTTGTGGAAGTTCTTTAATCATAGAAATGAGGCAGAAGCTGAAAACCAAAAAATCCTGCAAAACCAGTATGACTTTGAGGGGGCAGGAGGTAGAGAATTCAGGAGCAAAATTAAGCCTTGGGAAACAGGGAAGGGTGGGGGAAAGGTGGTTTTGAGGGGGTTTTTTTGTTTCTCATTACCCTCTTCTGATTAAATTGGTAAAAAATTCAATTAATTTCCCCAAGTCAAGTCTGTGTTGCCCATCACAGTAATTGGTCAGTGATCTCTTCCTGTCCTGATCTCGATCCATGAGCCTTTCACTATATTCTCTCTCCACTGTTCAGTTGAGGAGTGGGGTAGTAAAGCAGCCTTGCTGGGAACCTGGCATCCAGCCAGGGTTAACCCACCACAGATTATTATGGTAAAAAAAATATGAAAATTTTAAATCTGAAAGACGGATAAAGACTTCAACAGAAGCTTAAATACTCATACATTCCAAACTCTGATATCGGACATTGCATACATCCACTTTAGAACCCAGTCTAATCACATTTCATGCTGCAACCTTATTCTCTTCATTTGTTTATAATTCTATGCAAATCTGGAAGCACATTATACAGCTAAACTGATTATCCAGGTGTCTGTATTATTCAGGAAGTCATACAAAACTCATAAGCACCAAGTAAAAAGCTGCCTTGACCACAATCAGTCAGACACTGAAAACTGAGCTAGGTAGGAAAAACAAACTGTAAACCAGGCAATGCCCACTGCAGCTTCTTCCAATATTAGCAAGCCAGTGCTAAATATAATGATGAGAACTTGACACAACAATCCAAGTTAATCTGTAGTAGTGAGGCCAGGCAGTTCTGAAAAAAATCACTTACCTTAACACGAAGACCTAGTCCCATTTCAGATTGAATTAAATCACATATAAGAAGAAGAATGTTAATTATGCAAAATACTCAATAACCAACATTGTTATTAACTTTGTTCTGAATCTTTTCTTATCACCATATGTTCTGATTTGAAAAAAAAAAAAAGAGTAGCATGCCATCATCTCTCAAGTGAAAGAAATAGCACAAGACAAGCACAGCCAGATCATACCTCTGAGGTTTACGAATATCCCAGAGTCCCACACCTTCCTTAGAGTTGGCGGTAGCCAGTAATCTGGGTTCTACTGGATTAAACATTACACTGTGAAAGGCTGATGGGTAGTGTGCCAAGCAGAAGGGCTCTGTTGAAAAAGTTGAAATTTCAGATATAAGAACAAACAATGTATACAACTGCTTGACGCAATGACTTTGGCAGCTTAATATGGAAACAGCATAACAAGATCTGAAGATATGGAGGCATGTTCAAACCATTTCTCAACCTGGCACATCCAAAGCAATATAAAACCTGAAGTTTTCAAATCCATCCATGTACATCTTAACTCTGTATAAATATGGGAAAGGATATATGCTGAATTTCAAGACATCATTTTGCTTACGGAAGGTTATGAGAGTTTAAAACTAGCTAGTCAAAGATCAAATACTTGAATCTTCTTAAGGTTCATGACCAAATGGTCATCTGATAGGGAGTAAGCATGGGGGGAGCTTCTGAAAGATTTCTGGCAATATATGCCTGAAAGCTTCCACAGACACTGATGGATGACTGCCCAAACCAGAAATGTAGCAATAATTGATTATATGGGAGAATAATATTACAAGAAGTGAAATAAGTTTGTATGGAACTCAGCTCAAAGCAAGCTACCAACCCTGGGGAAAATAGGCTTGCCACCTCCTAAGTGCTGTATAAGCAGACAAGAAGGATGTTCCTTTTGCATAAAAAAATGTTAACAGTTGGCTCTTACTATTCACACAGAGTAAAAAACATGCTCATTCAGACTCTCTCCCTCTCATCAAGATTATGTTTGTCCTGCTACTCTACCCTATTCATTCTGTCAAAATGCTGTCTCCATGAAGAGTAGGGAAAAGCCTTGACTCTGTCATCCTTCTATCTTTCTGCTAGCTTTTACAGCTTTAGACACAGTCTAATTCTCTTTGCTGTGTGTATCTTTCATGGCATGCTGCCACTTTTTCAATCAACTACGGAGCCAGAATCAATGCCTATTTCGAGCCAGGGATTATGCCAGACTTTCCCATTCACTTTTTGCTTTGATGTAACTCCTGTGTTGCTCACGTGCTTGGGAGACACTTATCTGAGCCACCACATGCAGGCACCCTTAGCCCTACAAGCACCTCCAAAGGTACTTAGTTTTCTTTCCTCATATCACTCATTATGGCATATAAAACATGGTTAAACAGACAATCCTCTCAAATTTCCAATACCTTATGAAACAATTGCCTATCAAGCAACTGAGACACAATGAACATTTACTTGTCTTGCCCTACCTGTATCCTCCTCTTCCTCATATTCTATTACAAGCTTTTTCTTATAGGGACTTTCCTCTTCAGGGTTCATTTAACAGTGATGAAAACAAAGGTCTCTAACAACAGCTGAAGCTCCATGCTGCTATTAATTGTCGTAGGAGACAGAGGTAAAAAGCAGAACAGAAGCCAACTTCTGCTCTGCCAGCCTGCCCCAAGGCTTTAGAAATTGCCATCAGTCTGCTGGCAATTCCAAATAAGGTTTAACACCAAAACTGACTTTTTTTTTTTTTTTTTTTTTTTTTTATTTGCATCATCAAATCAGAATCCTGCTGGGACATAAGAGGCTGTTTATTAAAATGGCAGCCCCCAGTGAGAGGCAAAGGCTTGCGTTAACTGAGTGGAGAGACAAACAGCATCAGATTGCCAAATAAAGGAGTTGCCCTTTTTAAAATAAACTTTCAACTTATGTACATTTTTTTAGTCAAATTATTGTCACTAATTACTGGTGCTTTCCTTCACACTTTTATTATAAAGAGCCTGGCACCACAGTTTCCTTCTAAGATATCAAAAGTTTCAGCCTGTCAAAGAAAGATTACAGGAGCTAAACTAATGAGGTACTAAGTCATTTTAATGAAAAATAGGGGAATTACTTTTTTATTGTTCTTTATGCTCATTCACAATTGTAGCTTTTATACACTGGAGTATGAACATGTTTCTCAAGAGAGCAGCTCAACACCATCTCTAATGAAAATTAAATTGGGTTTATAAAAACTTCTGCAAAAATCACTCAGCAGAAAAAGACAGGGAGAAAGAGAAGGGAACAAAACTCCTTTTCCAACCTCTTTTAATGCACTACTTTAAACTAGGAGGTTATTTGCAAGATTTTAATACACTGGCCACTCAGGGTAACTAACTGTACTCACAGTAGCAGGTTTAGTGCCTATTCTCACGAAAATACCCATGCAGACAAGGGGATTACCCAGTGACAAGCATTATACTGCAGTAAACATTGGCAGGGCTCACATATAAATGCTGACTCAGAACTCCTATATAAGCATGCAAAAGCCTGTTATTTAAAATTCAGAGAACCTGAGACAGAACTCCAAAAAGCCTCAAACTACTATAATCAACACTTCACACCATATTCACGGGTACAGCCTTCTTTTTCAAAGTCTTAACAACAGTAAAAGAAGTAACAAGGTTTAACTACAACAAAGAAAGAAAAATTTAATTTCGTATAATCTCAGAAATTCTGATTAGATTGGACATTAGCTTATGAGACTGAGCAGCTTCCTACAGATGCATTTAAGCATCCAGTCCTCCTGACCGTTGACATCCACTGTCAGCAACAGGTAGTTGTCCTAACACAAACAGATCTTTATAGTGCAGAGTTTAGGAGAAGACAATAAAGGAACATTTCACCATTTTCAATTTGGAAACCATATTCAGTGTCTGGTCTTATCATTTGGATATTATGAAGACATAAAAGCAGGAATGAAGTGACTTGCATTTTTTTTTACTTTATCAAAAGTAAAATAGTCACATCAGACTAGTTTAATCTCTTGTTTTGATAGAGTAACTGACCTTTTATACAGGGGAAAAGTGGTATATATATTGATGACTACATTCACATAAGTTATAGTATCAAGTTTAATTACAGGCAGTTGACATTAGCAAAGGGAGATGCATGGGGTAAGAAACAGGCTAAAGGGAAGTTAAATAGCACAGTTCACTTTGCTAAGGGACTTATGAGCAAGAGGGGTGTTATTAATGAGTTCATCAAAGACAGAAGAGACAATATATATATTTTTATTAAAGTCTGCAATATATATATATATGGAGTGTGTACATTTTTTTCAGAATGTTTAATAAAATTACTACACGGGAAAAGAGATAAGGGTTAATACAACTGTGCAAGAGAACTGCACAAAACTGAATGCAGTGCTAGTATATTTAGTTTTTATTTATACTTATACAAAGGCAATATTTATACTTATACAAAGACAATATGCCTGGGGTAGGGAGGGTATCTATAAGCAGTCCTCTATGAGTATTCTGGTGGGGCTTATCAAGACAGACCCAACTCTGGTTACTCATGTTCAATAAATCCTGCAGGATACTAGTGTCTCTAAAAGACTCCTACGAGACTATAAAGTATGTATTGTTTCAACTTTTATTTCCTAGTCAAAAAGGGACAGTCTAGGAAAGTTATCAAACTCATTAAGTGTGAAAAGAGATAATTCAGTCGAACAGCAACTTTGACCCAACAATGTGTACAAATTGCCACAAAATACATTAAGCTGGATTTCACAGCCATAAACAATTTTCCTGTAAGACCAGTAGAAATTACAAGTTGAGGCAATTGCATTTAATCAGCTTACTAAAAAAAATGGAATTCTATTTCAGCTGTGAAGGAAGGGAACCATATTCTGTACTCCTGCAGATTGCTCTGTGTTCTTTAGGATGAGGTAAACTTGAAGCTTCATTTATTTAAGTGTTACTTAAGTATTCATACACTGAAATTCAATTACTGTGGTATTTCTCTCAAATTTATGTAACTATAGTTCTAAACTGAGATTCTTCAACCTCAAAACTGCAGCTGTAAAAACACAGGTCACCGTGTTTTGAGAAGCTGCAGGTTTGTTATATAAATCAACATTATTCAGTTCTGTTTCGGAAAACAAAGACTGAAGTAATAATTCAATTTCCCTGTTATCACATAAGGGCTCTAAGTTTCCATACAACCAGAAAACATTACCCATAACTGTCTCAGGGTCACAGGGAAGTATATAATTAGCTTTGGAAAACTATTCAAATCAAAATGACAGCTTTCTAAACATCCAAAATTTCTTTTCAGTCCAGACTACAGGAAAAAAACCCCAAACCTCATATTCCTAACTGATTGCAAGTTTTGAAAGATGTTGTCATTCCCTCCACTCCCCCTTTACTCAAGTTAAAACCTATTCAAACCAAGTTCTATGCTAGCCTGCACTGTGTACTGGTACTTTATGGAGTCATTTAAGACAGTAAGACTGAACTGAAAAGACTTGCCTATCACTGGGCAAAAGAACTATGCCTCACTTTCACCCTTTTCCAACACTCACTGTCTCGACTGTCCCTGATAAACATATTTTTTTCTCTTCCCTGCCTTGCACAAACTCTTCCTCAATCAACGATCTTTTCCTTCTAGAGATCTCACCTCCATGGGAAGACTCTCGGATGTCCCAAATAAGAACTCGGCCATCATCTGATGAACTGGCAAAGATGTTGTCATTTACTGGGCTTACTGAAAGGCCGTACACTGCATCTTCATGGGCAAACACATCCAAGGTTTCAGTGCTGGAAAACAGATACAGTATTATCATTCTTTTGCTATTGTTTTAAAAAGCAAAGTATTTACAGCTTTATCTACCTAGTAACACTTAGTGATGAAGTTAATGCAACTTCCTAAGAAGACCCTTGTGTATAACTCAAGTGAAAACCAAACAAAATGCCCGTGTTCAGTGACCAAGACATCATGCTATGAGAAAAAAAATATCTCAGACCAAAACCCAAACAGTAAAAACTTCAGATACTGCAAGATGCTATGGAACTCTTGTTGTGTTACATCAAGTCTGGGAGGAGGCAATGGGAAAGAGAAAGAAGCCTTGGGATCTGTGGAGTAAATTTTTACTACTTAATGTAAAAAGGAAAACAAGACAGAAGTACACTCTTTAATACAGGCTTCTGTACTGTCTAGAAGTTCAGTTGAAGCTCACAAAAGACCAACTTTCCAGATGGCTTCTTAAGTAAGTTTTCTTGGTTTTTCTGCATAGACCAGACCTATATTTTTCCATGTAGAAAAACCAGAAAAAAGAACAAAATTATTCCCCCCAAAGTATCTACTTTTCAGCCATTCCACAGCTATTAAAAAAAAAAAAAAAAAAGCCCATTCTCCATTCCTTTCCCATCTTTTTAGATCATTTAAAAAGGAGAAAATAGTGGTATGGAGAGACCAAAAGCTGAAATACTGAGTCAGAATATTCTGGGATTGTTTTATTTCTTTGAAAAAGCCCCTTCATTTCACTAGGGAATACACTTTGTATGCTATCCCTATACCTCATGGAAGCTCCACCATAGAGATCCACATAAAATCAGTGTTTTACTCACGTGGCAATTGATGTTCTTAGTGACAGACCTACTAACTCTGTCTCATGGACCATTAATAAAAAGGAAAAAAAAGCAGTAACAGAAAAAGCCATTTAAAATGATGAAAAAACAGTTGACAGACCAAGTGTTATCATTCAAGAAGATAGAGTAACTTTCCATAGAAATCAATCACAATTTAGTGTGTCAGTCCACTAAGGTTTCTTTCAGAAGATCTCACTAAAAACCTTAGAGGAAAGAATTATGTATGTGTTACAACTGGTCTTAGCATACCTAAAAAAACCCTCTGATAACGAAAGCACATTAAAATCACACACATATCAGAAAGACTAACATCTGAGCAAGACAGAGCAGGAAAAAATGTGTTATATAGAGAAGTGTCAAGGACAAAGATCTTGTAAAAGCTTAAAAAGTCAGAACGTGATAAACACCAGCATCTGAAATTTTGACATTTCCACATTTAATTAAAACAACAAGAAAAACAAAATGCCAAACAAAAAACATCTCCCAACAAACAAACACCTCTCCCAACCAAAACTCATACAAAACACACACTCCCAAAAGCCTTACAACCAAAAAAAAAACAACCCCCAAACACCAAACAACACAATATTCCTGAGAAAGCATCAGAACAGTAGGAAAAAGTTACTTTTGCCCAACTACCATACAAGACTTGTGCAAGAAGCAGACATGAGGTATGATGGAAGGCAGATGTACACTGAATAGTTCAATGCAAAAGGCTTTGGACAAACATAGGAAGAAATATGTCCAAATTATGTTATTTAAGCAACTCAAAAAAAGTAAGGGTTTGTATTTCTCTGTTCTTATATATATCTCTTCCTGCTTTTAATTTATACTTGATTTTCTTGAGTTCACATTAATTAAATGGTCATTGCTTAGAAGTTATTAGTACAGACCAAAATTTTATAGTTTTTTTATACCTCAAATGAAGTAAGATCAAAAGACATGATGTCTAGAGAATTCCAGTCCAACACATTACCACTACTGTATTATTTATATTTTGACTAACAGCCTAATCTTGATGTAGCACAACAAAGCCTAATTCCCAACTGGTTTGCAATTTTGGTAAAAACTAAGCATCAAACCAAATCTGCTTCACATTAGTGTGGAGAATCCGGCAGCTGCAGTCAAAGTTTTAAAGTTAATTAGGCAGGCCAAGCACCAGCCATCTTAAATACAAGTCAGGTGAGTGTGTTGAAAAACAAAACATCTGTATGTGCCAACACTTGTATACGTGCCAGAATAATCTGGCTCTAAATCTACTCAGAACGTACGTTTGCAGGAGAGCATATATATTTAATAATCATTCTCTTCTCCGTGGTCAAAATGATACAAAACCCAAGTGCTGGAAAAAAATGGAATTATGAGGAATACTTCATTCCTGAAATGAATTTAGATAAATAAAAAGCAGGTTTCAGGATTAAAACACTGTGCTCTTATCCTAGACCATTAATTAAAACAAAAAGTGCCTCCAGTGAGCTGACATTAAGTGACTTCTTAAAGCAGTGGAAATACAAACTGTGTATTTACCTTTCAACATCGTGGAGTATAACTTGCTCATCATTTCCTAAAAAGAGAAATATAAGCACTTAACAACACGTTCCAGTGATTAAAAAGCATTATAGTGAAAATAAATCCAAACCAAATTTTTTTTTTTAAATTTTCAATTTCAAAAACAAAACTGAAGCAGAGAGAAGACGAACTCAGTTTCCAAGTGGTTAGCTCTCTGCTCAGTTATGTGAGAGGCTCCATGTCACATTTCCAGTCATGACCAAATGTACCAATACGTTCCATCTGCTACTGCTCAACAAATAATTCTATTTAACTATGCTACCAATCATTCTTTGTTCAGTTTGAGCTTGAGTTTTGGGACATCTGCAGTAAAGAGAAGAATATTCCATGAAGCAGGCAGGACACTTTTAACTCTCATGAAAATACATCTTTCTTCCCACTCAAAGGATACTCCATAAAAAGATCATGGAAGTGAAAGGCACTGGGCTCCCAGATCAAATACTGCCAGCTAACACTATCAGCATCCAGGGTTTTGCAGCCATCGAGAAGGCAAGAATGTGACAGCCAATGCAATTTCTTCTATATTAACAAAAACCAAATCAAGTAACCACACAATCATGTCATTTTTCTTTTATCACATCCACTGAATACAATGGAAACTAACCACATGTGTGCAGGCTAAGAAGGTCACAGCCACAAAGTAATTCCAATAGCTCATGCAGCGTTTTTCAACCTATAGCAGCAGAATATTTTTCTTTAGTCTCTGTGCTGAATATTAATTTACCTAAATTTGGCACCTCCTCTTTAGAAATATTTAAGGACACACATACTTTCACATTTAATTCAGAAGAAAAGAACCCAGAAAGCCCACAAAGTCATATTTTTATGCTCTGTATGTCTTTTTAGTTGTGATATAGAGTTGTGAAGCTTTCCTAATGCACAACAAAGCTAGAGCTATCTGTCACATCAGGCCTTAGGGAAACAAATTCAGTTCCCCGTAAGTTTATTTCATCTTTTCATATACCTAACATTAAGTGCAAAATAAAAAAAGGTCCAAGCAGTTTACTAGGAGGGGATCTTTCATTTCAAATGCTGCTCTACTCTCAGTGTGTGTGGACAGAGAAGGGCAACAGTATTCTTCAGGGATGGGAACTTCTTTGGTACTTTGAGACAGTTTTTCTCCAGAGATTACATGCAAAACACTGTCCACTCAGTTCCTGCCTTCCATTTTTGTAATGGCTACTTGTGGTGCTTGCTCCTTCAAAGGAAAGAGCTCTGAAATTCCTTGGATACAATCCAATTTCTAGTGAAGTGGAAAATCCCTTCTCCTCTGTTATCAAGAGCTGCTTTAGGGAAAGGTCATCAGATTCTAAGTCATTAGTCGTTGGCAGTTGTTTATTTACAGAATAAACTGAGTTCTGTGTGCCTTGTGCTAGTTTCCATACTCTAATTCTTAGTTCTGGGGGTTTTATAAGTATTAGTTTCCATAATTTAAATACAACTCCAAATTCAGGTGTGAGTGTCTGTGTATCTATGTGATAACCAGTAGACCTTAAGTCCAACAATTCATTCAGACCTTTTAAGAATCTTCCAGAACATCACTGAGTGAATAAATATAGCTAGCCCCATTTTACTGACAGAGATAAAACAGATGGTACATTTAGGCCATGCAGCAAAATGACTCTTTATAAGGGATCCAAGAGTCAGACTCACAGCCCTTGCAGATGAGATCAATGAATCTTGATGGAGCAGCTGAAAGAGTTCCTGACTCCTCCAATGGAAATAATTTCTGGCAGAGGCACAGTGGTTTTATGTAAACTGGAGGAGGAAAAAGAGATGAGAATGGCCAGTTTGTCTGTGCATCAGCTGTCACAGCTCATATAACCTGGCATCTTAGCAAAAACCACCATAATTAATGATGTAAATCTTTAACTGCAGGTGTTAACTTCAGTGGCAAGGTATATTTAAGCCACTCTTTTGCTTTTCCTGTGAAAACAGCAGCCTCTGACAGCAGGGTCCAATGGACAGAGGGCTGAGCTGGATATGAGAAAATACCATTCCAGCTGGTCCAGCAAGATTTGGCACAGTTCACTCCTTGAATATTCATGTAAGGTTCCATTTGTATGAGTTCAAACTAAAGTAAAACAGACTTTTGCCCAAAATTTCATGCAGACACATTCATTTGAAGACAGCATGGAGTGCTGTATTTCTCATAAAACAAACGGCAGTCCCCAGAATTAGAAGACAGGCATCACTATTTGACATTTTGGGGGTTTACTCCACCTGAGAAGTGTATCTGAATCATTCCATCCTTCAAATTTGACACCATCTTAAGCTTTGTCATGCCTTTTTTTCTAATGGATGTTATCATTTTAACACAGCATTGAAGGACGAGAAGGTTCCATCGTTCACATGCACTTAGACTCAATTTCTAGCCTTGATTTACAGTTCACAAATCTTGGTTCAAAAACGTAACAAAGGGCTTTGACCAAATAGTCTCATAATATCCTAAATAAAGTCTAGCTGTATGTTAAAGGACATTCTGTACAAATTCTTGTCCTTCTGTTACCATGCCAGATAGAGGAAACGAAGTACTGCAGAAAAATGACACTTGACTGCATTGACAGTCTTTTTCTTCTCAACTAAAATTTTCCTCCTTACCTCAACACTTTAAAAATCATGTGGTGAAATGAACCTGAATTATAGGGATTATTAACCCAGAACAAGTTGATGTCCACTTCCCTTATGTTAGTTTTAAGACTGAATTAAACTTTCTGTTAAAAAGCAGATTTATATTAAAAAGAGACGAAAAATATCAAGGCCTATCAGTGTGTGCCAACAGTTTTAAAAGGCAGGTGCTTACCTAGTGAGGACTGAAATGGGGTCTGAAAAAAAGTGATCCACCAATAGATGGCAATAGTCCTACATGAGCTATCTAAGGGTGCATTAAAATCAGATTGTAGCAGCAAAGATTTTTAAGCATCAGGCTTGAGTGCCAGAGGGAATGCAGGGTCTGCTCTCAATACAGCTAAGAGGGAATATCAAAGACAACATTCCACAGTCTGTAGCACAAATAGGGGCAAACTGAACCCAGGATTCTCATGATAGTTCAAGACAACAATGTAGTAACACCAGGGTTTGAGAAAAGAAGCATGACAAAATTGAAAATGTTGTGCTAATTAAAGAATTCCCTGTTTCCAAAGAAACTTCGGTTACTGATTAAGAACGCCTTCCAGATATCGCCTGGGGCAGGTTCTCACTCATGGCTTCTACTGCAAAACATTCACAACACATAGTCCTGTGAAATCAGGGTGCTCTTCCTTCCTTACCTCCAGAGAACACTTTTGTATTGCCGCTGTTGAAAGCTAGGCAGAAGATATTAGAGTGATGCTCCCCTTTCAGCTGAACTGGTTTGACTCTTGAATGGATGGCTTCTTCCATATGCCAAAGTAAGACCCGGCGGTCATCTCCTCCTAGAATTAAAAAAGGAAATGAGCATTAGTGTCTGAGCCATGTGTAAACTGATGACATTATTTAACTGTGCAGCTATTCATAAAAGGCTTTGCTAACCCCCTATTTAGCACAAAAAATGTATACCTTTTTGGATATATAGAAACACATTTACATTAAGATGTCATGCAGTCAGGTATTCCATTAAAATAAATGAAAACATAGTAATCAGCATGAAAACTTTGAATTAAACAGCTGCCATTCTGCCAACACAGAGTGACAACCTATAGGAACCTGGAAACTCAAAAACGTACTGCTACATAAAACTCTGTGGCAAGCTATAGATGAATTACATGCCAGATAACATATGCATGTTGGCAAAATGCTTCTATACCAACCCCTTGTTGCCAGCCTTGCTTACGCTATTCATAAAACAGAAACTTTTTCCCCCTTACAGTGACAACTATATCTCTTCTAGCAGTCTTTCCAAAGCCTTCATAGCATAGGTTGGCTCAGGACTGACATGTGGCCATAAAAAGATTTTACTGAGGCATTCAGAAGTCTTCAGCATGCACGGTCATGTCATGCTTCTAGATCTCTAAAGGTTAAGACAGACACTTCTGAGGTGAACTCCTGACAAAGAGAGTACCTGGAGAAAAGAAGATCAACTCTCTCTTGCTTTACAACTTGCTGTATGTACTTCTAATTGCTTGCCTAGATGCAGTTCTCAGTTCAGAACTCTAAACACAAATATATTGAAGTGCCTCCTTCTCTGTCTGATAAACAGTCAGATATAAAATGAGTATTAGACTGTTTGTGCTTCACTTGCATTAAACTACTATTTATTAGGAAAAAAAAATCAAGGTACTATTGTATTGGACAGCATTCTCCACAGCAATTTTGAATGCCTGTAAAATCTGAATAAAGCTACTTTAAGTCAGACTTAAAATATTTTTTTGGTATCTCTCTTTAATAACAAATTAAAGTCATCGCAAGTCAAAAATGCCACTGGAAACATTCTGATTTCAGTTAAAACATTTTACTGCTTCTTTGCACAATCAAAAGCATAAACTCAGAGCCATCTGAGCTGCTATCCAGAGGGAAAAAGGCAGGACATAGGGACAAAAAGAAAACAAAATCAATTGGCCTGCTGTTTACTTACAGAAAACATAAATGCATAAACAGAATTAATTACTACTATTGATAATCAGATTTCTTTAAATTTTTCACATCAGATGATGCTATTAAGCATTTTTCCCATGGAACTGAGTTATGTCAAACATCCTATAAGTTAACAGTCTCTCAGCCTGTGAGTCTATTAACAGATTTTATGACACTTTGATGGACAGTACAGCTGCATGTTATGCTTACCCATGCTCCTTGAGATTAATTGTGTATTCCTCTTCCTGATTTTGTACTTCACAGAGCAAACAAGAGTACATGATAAAAAGATTTGTGATGCATTTGATAACTACTGGGAGTGAGTCAAATTTGATGGATCCAGAAACTCACAGTAATTTATGGTCAACTACACTAATGGAAGCTTATATTTCTTTCTGTCTAGAAATAGGAGAGACAGTTGTATTTGCATCCTAGTGATTGCAGGCATAACAAGTAATAAGGAGACACAGAAATACATGACCACATCAGTCAAGTTAAAATCAAGAAGTAACTGTCACACTTAAAAGCGGCTACTTCCCAAAGCTGCCAAAAGCCATATCCTATTGTTATCACTACCTGGAAAACAATTTAAGCAACATTTAAAGCTGGTGAACACCAACATTGCTTCTATCAAACTTTATTTATTGCCTTATGTAAAACACATTTTAGGGCAAAACATTACATATTGTTGTTAATTGTTCCCATAGGAAACCAATCTGCAAAACCACTGCAATAAGTTTACACATCCTCCTACCTGACAGCACAGCCAGCTAGGTGTCCCACTTTAACAGCAAACTCATAATCATTTTCACCAACCACTGCCCAGATACAAGAAAAATAATGAAGATATCCACAGAAAACAAACATTAGTGTGGTTTCCAGCACACATACAGTATGGTAGGAGAAGGATAAATTGTAACCTGTGCAGAAAAGTCTTTGACAGTGTGAAAAGTTGCCACTACCTTCTCTTTCAGAAGTTCCTATACCTTAGTGCCTGTTTCTTCTGCCTCCATTTTGGAAAGGACTCTTCCTATTGAATAAAAATGTTTCTCTCTTCCCAGTTACCTAGATCTCCATGAGACTTTAGTACAAGGGGTCCCACTATTGAGTACTCAACACTACAGCGGTCCAAGAACTATGTTTGCCTTTGTGGTGGCACAGTCCACAGTTTAGGAGCTTTTAAATATTCCCCACACTCATGCAATTCTGTCCCTTCTCCATCTACATACTGTCTTGCACATACTTGTCTTTGAGGACATCTACACCTGTTTCACCCTCTCATACTCCCTGAGACATAAAAGTTTAATAAAATTATAATGTTAATTGGGTTGTAAGTCTCTTACCTTCTAACTCCAACTCAGCTATTCTAGAAATACTTCTGACTTACGACCAGTTCCACTGGGAAGAAAAAGTTACCCAATGTGTTGGGCCACAGAGGATTTATGGCAAAAAGGCACTTCAACAGTCTCTACATCCTCATACAAGAGAATAAGAAGTGTTAAGTCGCAGGTAATTATACCCAAGAAAAGGCAAGGTTTAAGTGACTGAAACCAGGAAAAGTGTAAACCAACAAATGCAATCTTCACCACCCAAACCTGACTCTTACAATAAGAGGGAGAAAGGAGGGAAATTCACATGTATGGACAGGTATGAAGGGAGACAGCAAAGAAAATGTGAACATGCAGAGCTTTTATGCTCTGTAGAAAGGAACCGTGATTCACTGCACACAAAGTGCATGCACATAATGCAACATAAGTTACAAGTCTGAGAATTATAGGAAACTATAGCAGGTCTATAGCATTCATTCTGTACAACAGAACAGCAAATGCTGATTAACTAAAATGTTCTCGATTTACAGTGAATTTATTGTACATATACATCAATTCTATGACAACAGAAGCAGAAGCCACTCAACACTTTTCAAAAACCACTGGACCCACTGAACAACCCTGTGATAACTCTACAATACTCCCCCAAAGGAATAATGAAATAAGTGTCTATGGGAAGAGTACCTTCTTAACATGATACAGGGCATATACCAACAGCAACAGGTTTAATACATATCTGGGAAATCCAAGTCCATGGCTTCATAAGAAAATACCTTAGTCAACAAGGCTCCACATGCGGATTTTCTAGAAATTGAAGACCTGCAAAGTCTTGAATTTGTAATTTTTCAGTCTGTGGTGTCAGAAACAGTAAGTCTGACAACTACAAAGGGGAAATAGCTTCACTTTTATCTTATTTTGCAGATTCTGTTTAGGACTGTATGACTGATAATTTGAAAAGTAAAAGTTTGTGTGACCCAGCTAGGAATTATACAACACCATTCTACAGTTACTTTTCTGAAAGGAACCACATTTAAAAGATTTAATTAGTCAAGTACCTCAGTGCTCATTATGGGTCAACCCTGTTTCTACATTCAAAACTGAAGAGAGACAGGAAGAGAAGTCTATTCTTTTTGGGCCTAAAATAGTTCAAAGGGGGCCAGAACATACCCTCACCAAAGTAAAACTATTCCAATCAGTGTCTGCATAACTCATGAAACACACGAGTTCTTGAGTACTAACAGAAGCACTTCAAAAGCATACCAGTCAGGACTTAAAACCTGCAATTTTAAAGAGCATTAACCTTGCTGATTGCAGACAAAGCTCAAGACCACTACTCCTCTTTGTCTCCCATATACCAGCTCCAGTCACTGAAGAACCTACACGGCAAGTGGACAACACTTCTAAATCATAACAAAAACTATTAGTCTTATTGCTCATACCTACTCCAGAGGTTGTATGAATCACAGAAAGTGGGACTGGATGGTATTTCAAGTTGATCACTTATTTGGCCCTGGACAAAGGCAAAAGGCTAGACTTTGTCAGAATTATTCCTAGATACATCTCTAGTTTGCTCTTAAAAAATCAGTGCTGAGGTAGATTTCATACCCTCCTTAGGCAGCCTATTTCAGTTCCTCATTATCCTTGTCATTAGGCAGATTGCCCTAATATCTAGCCTGAGGATGCATTTTGACCTTACATATAATCCCACTCCCCCTTACCATGTGCTCCTGCTATTTTCCCTTTCATTGAATTCACTGACGATTCAGGCAGAGATGAGCAGATTAAAGAAGCTGACCTGACAGAAAATCAACTGACAGACAAAAAATCTCTTCCTCCCTATTCCGTCCCCCTGATCATATGCTTCCATCATACCAGTTTCTGACTTTAAATTATAAAAGTGCCACATTACAAGCAATGAAGAGGAGAAATAAGTGAATGAACTACAGAATGAACGGCAGGTGCAAGATCAAACAGCATCCTAAAATCTTTCTTCCTATTATTTTGGACCACTTCTTTGTCCTATTCCCAGTAGACAAAGAAGAGTTTACAACTTCATGTAAGAATAATTAAGAACACCTTTATGCAGCTTAGGACTTGCATCTCTACTCAGCTGTTCTCTCTGTAAACTAAATGGACCCCTTCCTTTAAGTCTTTCATTCTTCATACCCTCTTCTGAATTTTCTCTAGTTTCGGCACATCTTTCTCAAAACACAGTGCCCAAAATTGAGCACAGCACTCCATTTGAGGCCCCAACAGCACCAAACAAAGCAGGTTTACTTCACATGCTTTATCATGTCTGACAATATTTATGTTGTGATCTATTGCATTTGGATCCTCTTCTCTATGACTATGGTCTAGTTGCCATAGTGTATGTGTAGAGTTGAATATTTTTATTCACATGCTGTAGTTTGCACTTGTCCCTATCAAAACACATGATATTTTTTCCATGTAATGTATCTTAATTAACTTGAAATTCAACTCCTATCCTCTGAAATCATTGCTGCCTTATCCTGATATCTTTCCCGAGAAATTTTATAATTTCTCAGAAATTAATTAAAACATGATGTAGTAACTTCACGTAAGATCCTTCCTTACACAGAATTCTGCTGGATACAATGAGATTAAAATCAAAGGTGTTCCTCTTTAAAACATACTTGATACACAATCCCCTTATTCAGAAGTAATATTCCACTACCTTTGCTAAAGTCACCTTGTTCCCCTCTTTTAGGCCCATGCTCCTTCAGATTTACACAGCAACTAAATGACAGATCAATTTCCAATACCTTCTTGCACCCTCACAAATTTATGATCATAGAACAGTTATTAATTTTTGCATTATCTGGTAGGAGGGAAAAAAAGCCAAGAGAAAAGGAATGCTGGCATGGATTAAGTAAGCCTCAGATTACAGTACTTCCCAGAAGTTATCTTGAAAGTGCAGTTTAAAGTCGGAAAAAAAGTGGGAGGTTCTGATAAAGATACTCATGTTTGTAAGAGATAGCAGGCATGAAAAATGACAGATAAACAAATAGGAAAACATATCCACCAAACCTGAGAATGGGAGACAGACAGTTTATTACACAGACCAAGTAAAGTTGATTTTCAAGAAGTTAAATTGCAGAAGGAGATGCCTGGCAAATGTGAGGGAAGAAGTCAGATGCACACCATTGCATGGTGATTTTAATTTCCATGCATGGACGGTCATGTGTTTCTCAAACTGTTAAAAGAAAAAAACACCATCTAGTAAATGAAGCATTGCAAAGACACATTTTGCCCAATAAAATCTTTCAACTCTATCCAGCAACAAGTTTTAACCAATTTCAACCCACTTACACATTTCTTATATGTTAAGCTTTCCTCTTCCCTTGTGCCATTCTACAGATAGGCCTTTTCTACTTGTCACACTGCATCTTCTCCTGAGTGTCCAACTCCTCATTCCATTTATTTAATTTTTTTTAAATTCTTGTCCTTATGTCAGTCTCTTCTAGCACTCATGTCCCAAACTATTAATCTCTCTCTCTTTCTCCCCCTCTATAAAGTGACACTGTTGAGTTCCACACAGGCACAGCAAAAGCCTACAAACTGGCCCCCAGCTCAACTTGTAGACCTCAACTTTTTTACTTGAAAATATGGTTACGGACAAATTTAATGACTATTAAATGTGCACTTTCCAGTATAAGATTTGAAGAAGATACCTAAAAGTTTCAAACATGCTTTCAGAAGGCCTGCCAAGGCTTGTCTACGCTGAAGTTCTCTCCAAAATCCTAGCAGGAAAATTATCTGGAACTGTAACATAAACTCTGTTTAAACAGTTTAAATTGTTTACTGAAACAGTAATCGTTAGCCTTACAGATTTGCTTCTGGGAGATAGATTTAAAAAAAAAAAAGGTGGGACACATACCTAAGGAAAGCATTCCAGCCAACAGTGATGAGAACAGCACTAATCTGGATGCAGGCTAGCATTTCAATGGCATCAGTATAACCAATGCACTGTACCAGTTGCACTTAAACCATCTCTAACAAGGTCTAAGTTGTTAACAAGTCAATTAGCCAAAGCAGACTTCTTTAGATTAAGAATACAGATATTACTCAACACTGAACAACTGAAAAGACTGCTTGCACTCTCCCTTTTCACACATTCCAATATCCCTGTTAACTCTCTTAGCTGCTATAAGCACAGATGGAAGCATCTAACATCTCATCCTTACCTCAGCAAGCTGACTATTTTGAGGGAAGAGAGACCCACATGACATCTATTCTAAGGCTTTATCTGCATTTGGAAGTCTTGTAAAGCAACTCTTCTACAAAACTTCAGAGTAGAGGTAGCTTATACCCTTCCTTTACCTTTCATCTGAGCTCTCATCTTTGCTTTTTTCCTGCTGTTGCTATTTCTCAGAGCTTCAAGATCAAGTACAACCTTAAAAAGGAGTCTTTTGAGTGTAATTTTAATGAAGATTGGTCTAATAATAACATGAAATTTAAGACTATTCATAAATCTTTTGACTTTTAATTTCTTGGTTTTGACTGAAGCACAGAGCACCTGCTTGCTGTTCCTATGGCACATAAAACACTCTAAATCTTATGGTCACAGATAACATGAACATTTGTAAAGAAGTTACCATAATTAGAGTTCTTCATTTTCTCAGGGCATCGACACAAGGTCATGCTTAAGGTAGCCTGTTCTTGACTACTCCAAATATGTGCACTGCTAATACATGTAAATTAAGCCTTTTTTTTTTTTTTTTCACTTGCTTGCTACCATTTATCTCCTTGCTTGCTATTCATTTATCTACATACCGAGGAAAAGCTTACCCCCTTTGAACACTCTGAAGCTTTATGAGAAGTTAGGAAATTGAAATCAGGACATTGTTTGAAAGCCTTCCTTTTACGTATGCTTCTTTAGATGCCCAATAGCTGGGAAATCTGCCTCCATTCTCTCACTGCACCTACCTTGACTCAGGCAGTTTGGTCAAAACTAATTCTTAAAAGTCCATTCTAGTCCTCAACTTTTTATGCTTCTACCTAAAGAATGGATGTCAACATAGGTAAGTGCATTGATGATATGACAAGACCTGAAGTATCTCCTAAAGCCTTCTAGAGCAAGAAGAACAGAAAATACTGATGTTGTTTCCATCACTTATTATGGAAAATAAAAAAGAAACAGTAGTTACACTTGAATTCTCTGTAGCACTTTATAAGCAGAAATACAATGCTCTATTTTCTACTGAAGAAGGACCAGTGCAAACCGGCATGCCAACTCTAGCACAAATGGGAACTTTAGAATAGGTGAATCAGCATTCCCTTCCAATACACATTTATATACATATATATGTGTGCATGTATACACATGTATACTCACAAGATAAATGGATGCCTATCTCGTAAGTTGCACGTGCATAAAGATAAAAGAATCCCCAACAGTAACACTAAGACCCTTCATGGACACACATTCTAGACCACTCTGTGTTTATGCAGTGTTTCTATTCTGTCCTTGCTTAAAAGTAATCAGTCATAACTTTTTATTGAATCCACGTGTTATTTCTGCAGTTAATACTGATACCTTTGTCTGATACAGTCCACCTCTGCCCAGACACCACAAGAAGGCAGTAAGCTGCCCGCTCAGCCATACCCCCATCACGTTCCTTCGTAGCCCCTGTCGCTATTTACAGGGTGGCCAGGCAAAGCTGAGGCCCTCTCGCCCCTCCTCCACCCCGTGGTTGGTAACCAGGCCATCACCCTCCAGCAAGCGGAGAGACCACGCTCAACAAAGCTGCCACGGCCTTGTGCCAAGGAGCTCTGCGATTCCCCCGAGGGCAGCCACTCCATACGACCGGGAGTGGGCCTTTCCCGCTGCTGCCCGGCCCCGGGGGAGGGAGCTGCCGGCAGCCCCAACCCCAGTCGGCAGGAGAGGGAAAGGAGACCGCTCCTTCCAGCTCGCTCCCCCTGGGGGTGAGGGGCGGCCGGGACAAGACGCCCCCCGACCGCGGCCTGCGATGGACACCGCACTGGGCGGCCTGGCCCTGCCCGGGGCGGCGCGGCACGGGCGGTCCCTCCCGGACCGGCAGCTCTCTCCCCGCCACCCGAAGGGTTCTGCCCCCTCGCAGCGGGGCGCAGGGGCCTCGGGTTCGGCGGGAGAAGGGCATCGCGGCCCCTCAGCGCCGGAGCCCCGGGGCGCCGCCGGCAGGATCGGCCCGCGATTCCCCGGCCTGTCGCTAAGAGCCGCCCAAGGAGAGCGCGGCCTGCAGCGCCCGGCCAGGCCCCGGCCTCAAGTTGCCTCCTTCTCCCGCCGCCCCTCCGAGCCCGGAGACGGGGAAGAAGGAAGAGGCACCTGCGCCAAGCGCTGCTGGTGTGGGGGGAGGCGGCCGGCCAGCGAGCCCCGCAGCCCCTCCCTGGCTGAGGGTACAGAGCCTTTCCCCGTCCTCGGTGTCGCAGCTCATGGCAAGCCCTCGCCTCCCTCCTAACTGACAGCATCTCCCAACCATGGGTCCCTCAGCCCCGGGCAAGCAACAGGGGGTACCCGAAGTCAAAAAACATCACCACAAATATAATTCTTCCCCTCCCCAAATGCGCCCTGCAAGGGGAGGGAGGAGAAACAAAACAAAACCCGACTCCCCTCCCCCAAAAGATGTGGTGGGGTGGCCCCAAAGTGACCAGACTCTCGATTAAAAAGATCCAGTTGCCCGCCCGATGCTGAGCGGGACTGCAGCCCCCCCGCCTAAACTCGGGGCCGCCGCCCGCCCCCGGCAGCAATCGCTGACCCCCGGCCCGGGGCACGGCGCTGACAAATGTCACCCGGCGCCCACAATGCGCGCCACGGGGTGGTTTCGTCTCCGTCGTCGTCCCCCCGAAAATAAGAAAATCCCCTTATATGGGGAAAGGCAAGCGAGCCATCAAATAAAAGGGCACCCCCAGCTTCCAGCCCCAGCGCCCGGGAAACACTCTAGTAAAAACTTTGTCCAGGGCTCCCCCCTCCCCGATAATAGTAGAATTTAAAACCTGTCAACCATTTTAGATCCCTACTTGGGAAAACATTATTCCCGGGCACCGGTGGATTTGGGAAACGGCTCTGAGCAGCGACGCCGCGGCTCCCCTCCCCCCGGGCCGCGGGGGAGGCGGCCGGGCAGGAAGATGCTTCCTGGGGAGGGGGTGGCGGGAGGGGGCGAGGGACGGGAGCGTTCGCTTTACCTGAGACCAGCCACTGGCCTCCATTGTTGGAGAATTCAATGGCATTGACACAGCCGAAGTGGCCCAGGAGGTCCTTCTTGTAGAGGTTCCTGCAGCCCCGCAGGCGTCTTCGCTGGAAGTCTTGGGTGAGCAGGGGGTCCCCCTCCAAGCCCCGCTGGGACAGGAACCCCACTACCGACCGCATGCTGCCCCCCCGGCTGCCTCTCCTCCTCATGCTGCCGCCTGCGCCGCTCCCCGCCGCTCCTTCCCCCGCCGCCCCTTCCCCCGCCGCCGCCTCCCCTCCCCCGCTTCCCCCCTTGTTATGGTTATGATGATTTTTCTTTAGCCAGCCATGGCAGAGAGGTGTTAGACACTCCGCCGCTTCCTGATCCCGCTGGCTCCTCCCCGCTCCCCTCAGCAGCTGATCCTCAGCTGCAGCCCGCGCCTCTCGGCCCGGCTCTAGCGTGGCGCCGCCGCCGGTTAACTCGCTCCTGGAGCGGCGCGGCGGGACGGGCGCACTCGCCACCCCGAGGACCTGCGGGGACGTTAACGTTCGCCACTCCGGGGGCTTGTGGAGGACGGGCACGGTCACCACTCCAAGGACCTGCGGAGAGTAGGACACGGTCGCCACTCCGGGGGCTTGCGGGGAGACGGGCACACTCGCCGGGAACCTTTGGAGGGAAGGACTTGTTCGCCACTCCCAGGACCTGCGGGAGGGACGTTAACGTTCGCCGCTCCGGGGATCTGAGGGGACATGGGCACACTCGTCACTCGGAGGACCTGCGGGGGGACGGGCGCACTCGTCACTCGGCAGCCCTCACTCGGGGCTCTGGCTGCCGCCTGCGGCCCCACGGCTGGCAGGGAGGTGGCGGCGGGCGGGCAGGTGCTCCCGCGAACGGACGTCGTCCCTGATCGCGGTGAATGGGAAAGGAGCCCTCCGGAGCTCCGGCCGGCCCGCCCGCCGTGGGGTCCTGCGGTCAACGCACCGGAGGGAACATGAGGGGGAAAATACCCCAAGTGCGGGCGCGGTTTGCAGTGAGGCTTGTCCTCTGTAAATGCTGAATGATTTCTGCGGGAATCCAAAGCATTATGGCTTTAGGATTCATTTTGTTTAGGTTTTTTTGTTGTTGTTTTCTCTATGATAGTTTTTATGAGGCTGTCAGAGGTTTTACTGCTTGCTTTCTGCTCCTTCCCGAGCAACACTGAAAACAGGAGGGTTGCGCAGCCCAAGTGAGTAGACTCCCCTGCAGTCCCAGAAGACTGTTGGAAATATAGAAGAATTTTTTTCTCTTACCCTCCAGTATCAACTAAAACTCAAAGGCAGCCAGCTAAATAGGTGGAACTGATCTGATGTCCGCTGTTAAACAACATCCCAAACTTTATGTTTTTGGGGAAAAAAATATCTTTTGTCTTTCACAGGACCCTGTACTTCACACGTAATATCTTATGCCATGTCAGACAACAGGAGTATCATTCAAAGAGTGATGTCCATGAGGTGCTGCACAGAGCTCCCAGTCCCACCTTGCAGTGTCTGACTGAACACTCTGTGCACAAAGTGAGCAGCTTGAAACTTTCAGGTCTGCATTTCCCCATAGGCATGAGGCATGGGTGAACTGGCACCAGTATCTAGGGGAGATACAGATTTTGGAAGGTGAGGAATTAGCTTGACAGTCCCAGCCATCTTTGTGTGCCACTGCACCAGCTGGGAATTAGGAATCTCTAAACTTTAATACAAGCAAACAGAAAAACCCTTCCTGACATAAACTGTTATATGGCAACATTACTGAGTACTATTAGACTTCTGCCATGTTCCAGTGACAGTTTTTCTGTAGAAATTAAAATTATTTCATTATAGAAAGTCAGTTAAGTGCTTTGGATTTCTTCCTGGTTAAGATTACAGAAAGAACATGAAATCCTATAAACCATGCCTTTTACTTGACAACACTATAACCTTACTTTTCATCATCATGGCTGGGCTTTGCAAACGAAGATTTGGGAAGGGCTCTACCCACATTTGTTACAAGTGCGCTGGTGGCTAAAAAGGTCAATATGAGACAGGCACATCCGGCTGCAAAAGGCACAGCAGAAAGACTCCTTAGGTGGTATATTCTGCAAGACACGATTCTTTCTGCGTTGTCTTTTCTCCTTAAGGGTGATCCTGTGTGCTTTCTCAAAGGCATCCGCAGTGTTACAGATGGTGTGTCTCCAGGCCTCCCGATTGGAGGCCAGAGTAGACCAGTTATGTTGATCAATATGGCCAAGGCTGAGATGTTGTTTCAGGGAGTCCTTGTATCTTCTCTTCGGGGCTCCTCTCATGCGGCAGCCAGTGGCAAGTTCACCATAAAGCAAGATCTTAGGGAGGCGGTGGTCCTTCATCCTTGAGACGTGCCCTGCCCAGCGCAGCTGTGTTCTCAGTAACATGGCCTCAATACTTGTGACTGCTGCTTGTTCTAGAACAGATGTATTGGTCACATAATCTGACCAGTGGATGTTTAGGATTGTGCAGAGACAGCGTTGATTGAAGCGTTCTAGGAGATGCAGGTGGTGGCGGTAGATGACCCATGATTCAGATCCATATAAGGATGGTATCTATATTCGATATCGTACTGATATCATGCCTTTTTAACCTAAGGCAACTGAAGGCCCATACTAAGACCTTAAACCATCTGATCCAGGAACTGCTCTATGCTGATGATGCCACCCTTGTCACCCACACAGAAGCAGCTCTGCAGCATTTAACATCCTGCTTTGCAGACACTGCTGAACTCTTTTTGCTGGAAGTCAGCTTAAAAAAGACAGAAGTTCTCCATCAACCAGCACCTCAGGAAGTCCCACATCATCCCCATATCACCATTGGTGAATCAGTGCTCAAATCAGTCCAGAAGTTTAATTACTTAGGTAGCCTCATCTCCTCGGATGGTAAGATTGATGGAGAGATAGACAACAGGTTAGCAAAGACACATAGTGCCTTCCGAAAGCTTCATATAAGAGTTTGGTGAAATAAACACTTGAAGAAAAGTACAAAGATCAGTGTTTCCAGAGCCATACTGCTGTCTACTCTCTTATATGGATCTGAATCATGGGCCTTACTTTTAACATAACAAAAGTAAATAACAAACTTTTCCTTCTAACTGTGGGGGGAGGGGAGAGAATGTAACTAATTACTAACATTAACAATGTTTCATAATTGAAGTGAAAACAGAGGACAATCTCTTCTACATCTGAACTATACAAAAGGGTTTTTCTAGTTATAGTTGTTGATGGCCAACTATTGCTATGTATCATGTCTAGCAACGCTCAATATAGAGAGGCAAAGACCTTGTCCATCATGGTTTGTGTTTACTACTTTAGCCTCAGACACAGGTAAATTGCGCTGCTATAAAATCATTTTTATAGCTCTTCTGTCTGCATGCCATGAAATTCTGTGCCATTACAATTATATCAGAAACTGTTGCTCACTTCTGAATTCCCAACACATGTTTCATTTTTTCCCCTTTCCTAAAGTATTGTTCAGGTTGAATATCTTTGGATATCTTTGGTTCCTGTATTGAAATAACAGAATAAAATCTCCACTGTTTTTTCTCCACGTTCTGGATCCAGTCTCTAGGAAAGCTGTGTACTTACATTGTCTTACATATTAATAAAATTATTTCCTAAACTCTCAGGGCCAGGATTTTTAGGAAAAATCTAACTGAATTTTGTTTGGTTTTGGTTTGGGGTTTTTTTAATCACATTTGTAAGCAGATAGAAAGAAGATATGTTGTCAGAATTTGAAAGAAAAATAATAGCAGATTGCCAATCTGTACTGCTCAATGAAATATTCTCTCACATGACCATATCAGTTTAAAAACCAAATTGGTAAGCATTTTTTTCATTCTCTGATTCCTTTGTTTGAATTAATTTTGAATACAACACCTAAGGAAATTTTCATAGTCTATACTGGTAACATCTTCCTTTGAAAATGCCAGAGGGCTCTTACTCTCTAGAACACACTGTTGTCCTGAGTCATGCTGAAGTAGCACCAATGAAGCATCTTTGTCTACTTTAATAGGAACCTTCTGCAGCTTGGAATGGAATCAAGGCACTGACAGTAGTTACTCAAAGAGATCTAACTTCATCAAATTGCTGTTCTGTGGGACAGGTTAGCATGTAGGGTGCTGTACTGAGATGGAATGGTACAGACTAAACTGGATTGAGCATGGACAGACTCAATGGGCAAAGGAAGTCAGGGTCTGTTTGTACACACTGCTTGGGCAGCTTAGTTCTGCAGGATGATTATAGTCTCCTCCATACCTCAAAACCAGCATGAAATAAAGCCCCCCAAAAATGTGTTGTTTGGAATTTCAACAAATAGGCAGTAGAGGAGAGAAGTCAACTGGAAAGGAAATGAGAGATAATTAACAGGGTTGTAGACTCGTAGATGCCCTTGGAAATGAAGGTAAGTAAATAATGTTTGATGCAATACCAAAGAGGAAACTAGGAAAATGCTTCAAATAGGGAAGTGATGAAGATGATCTGCCTAAACAATCTTGGGTTGCAGTTTCAGATTTGCTTATTCCAAGGCTGTGCATAGTCCAGTCTCCTAGCAGTACTAAATTGATCTGGATCAGGTATGGACATGGTGTCACATTGCTTTCACATTAGCTTCTGTCCATGCTACAGAGTTTTTGTTCTGCCTCTGGAAGGACTGACAATAACTGATCTGGCTTTAATATCTGCTGGTACAAAGTTATCCCTTCAACATTTTTTCTGAACAAATTTGAATTGGCAGAATGAGTTAAATTCCAGTAGTCATTTCCATTTGATGTCTGTGGTATATCTGATTATTAATAGGAGGCCTACAGTCAGCTTTACTCTATTGTCAGATCATGACATTTAGAGCAGTCCATGGCTGTTGTGTTATGAGCTGTGTTGGTTAATGCTGTAGGGAGACATATCAGGGCACTCTATGTATGTCAGCAAGAGAACTAAACAAGGCTCTTAGCTGCATGGATGGATCAAAGGGCTTTGTCTTGGAGCTGCCATATAGAAATATGTATCCTGGGTGCTAGGATCTGCAAAGAGGTTTCAGTCAGACCTGACAGTTGACAAACAAGCTTGAGTGGCAGGTAAATGCTATCCACACATACACACAATGAAGATAATAAGAGGGCTTTCAGGGAAGAGTTCTAGCTCTGATAAGCTCTAACTTCCTGCTAGTTATCCACAGAAGAGAGAAAAAGAGTATGATTTGAGCTTGGATAGAGAGAGATAGCTCTGGGGAAAGGAGCAGATCCACAAATCATCTGCAGATAAATATTAATTTATTTGTATTTCAGTGAGATAACTCAGAGATAATACGAGAGCATAAAAGGAGAAGACCAAGGATACAGCTCTCTGAGAGGCTGTCAAACACTTGGAAGGCTTAAATAGGTAAAAAGAAAAGTAGGTGAAGCATGGTCGATTGTGTCAGGTTAGAGAGAATGAGCTTTAAATACACCTTTTTGAGTTCTGTTGAACTTTTGAATGGCTTTGGTTAATCTGGAACGGAAACTGAGAAGTTTTGACACTGATAGTTGGATGTCTGTGGACTGAGTCAGAGAGAATGAGCATACAATTAGGAAAGTGGAGCAGAGTCAAGGCTTTTATTAATTTATTTATACTTTTTTTTTTTTTTGAAGGGAAATAGAAACAAATGGAGGGTAAACCAAGAAGACTATATCATATTTTAGCCATATCATTTTTTTAAAATAATTGTCCCTGTGTTATTCCTTCTAGTGAAAATGTGATGGCTTCTAGGCTTTTTTCCTTTTGCTTACTAATTTCATGGACCAGAAAGATAGGAAGAACAAGGATTGTTCTCTCAAATGTATATTTGACTCATGAAAGTGTCCCAATGAATGCCAAAATCAGCACAGGCTAGTCTGGAGTGCCCAGATGAGAGCTGAGTTTTGGGAGTGGGGGGATATCATACTCTTAGCAGCCATAAACACTGAGGCTGACTGAATGTGCCTTCTGGGCTGAACCACTGGGATAAGTTAAGTGCTCTTCAAGAAATGGAACTGTGAAATTCCTCTTAGCTTCTACATAAATAGTGAAAAGAGTTGGCAATTAAGGAAGAAATACATTGATGATGATCGACGCTAATACAGCTCATCCTCATGGGATCTGGCAGCTTACATACCTCTGAGAGTGTTTTTTTCAAATTCTTTGCAAACCCTGCAAACTTTGGCAGATTCCTGCAGTGAGCAACCACTGACTCATCTTTTGGCTTAGGATGTAGTTTCACTGAGATCTGGCTGTATGGTGAGTTACTACAAGGAGTTAAACCATGAGAAATCTCCATTTTTTTTTTCTGTGCTAGCTTTCCACTCGCTTAATTCCTTGAATCAAACTGGCCACCAGCGTTTGCAGAAGTGAGGCTGTAGAAGAATGCCAACAGATAGAAGAGGGAATCAGAACTGCCTTTTCAACAGAAGCTAAACCTTCTATCCACCTTGTTGCAGTGTGAAACTCCACCTGTAGGATGTGGCTTCACAGTTGATTGAAACTGATCTCATTCTGACTTCTTGAGGAAAGAAGAAATCCTGCTGCCTCCCCAGTATCAACCCTCTTAAAACAAACCTTGCTCAAAATGGCTTGTTTGCACATGTAGGTACGGGGTTACTAGCATCAACAGGAGAAAGATAAATCACACAAGGAGTTGAAATGCGAGTTCAGTTCTCTTTTGTAGCTTGGGATGGGGCCCCAAAGAGAGTGTTATTAATGAGCTACTGGGGGACAGTAGGTACTGGGGACAATGAGCTCTCTGCTCATTGTCTGCTACCAGCAATTTAGTCTTGACTGGAGGCTCTTTCTTTGATATTCCACAATCATTGATTTTCCTTTGAACACTGAGTCATTTACCCTGGTCTTCTCCCTCCTAAAGGATAAGCTAATATAATTATAAAAATAATTCTTTTTCTGTGATCAGCAGAACAAGTGAAGCCTGGTTTCCTACAGACTTGTCCTGATGTGCCACTGCTGTGTGGATTCTCATATGTATATGCAGTGTCTGCACATGCTTGCCATTTTATCAGTGACAGCTTTATTAGGACCTGTTCCATCGATTTGGCTTTTCATTTCACTTAAGTTACTTTTGTACAAATTTAGATGGAATTGAGCTATGGTTTAAACATGCTTTCTTGGCAAGGAAAGTGTGGGAAATAATGGGACCCACAGACAGAAACACTGACAGTGTAATTGCATAAGCCTTCTTTCCTTAAGAAATCAGGCTAAAATTGAGTCCTTTGACAGAGACCTCTGCAGAGATCTCAGATTATGCTACAGAAACAGAAAAGTAAATCTTGCTATTTACCATGTAAAGGCTTCCAGTTACCTGCTGTAACAGATTTCTTATACATAAGGCTAAGCCAGCAGTTGGTGTTTACTCACTTGGTTACCTTCTCTCAGCAATGCCCCCATCACGTATTGGGAACTTGTTTTGGTTTTGTTTTGTTTTTGCCAGAGTACACTCATGCATCAGTTGCTTTCATTTATTTTTAATTCAATCTTTATACTTGAATAAATGGCTATGTAGGTAGCAAGACAAGCTGTTAAAGATACTTATGGTTTACAGGACTCTCTAATGTCAGTGATGACATGAAAAATAAATGCTTTAAATGCAACCAGGGATACAGTCCTGTTACTCGGAGAAAAGCTAGCATCTTATCTTTTAGACTTTTATTATGTAATAAATGTTGCGGTATTTTATTGCTTTTTTCTCTATTGTAACTGTACACTTAAACTTTTATTACTTTAGAAACTAAAGTAAAAAACTTGTAAAAGGAAAAACTGGCCTATTTCAAAATTTTGTGTGGATGCCAGTTTATTAAAAATGGGTCCGGCTACAAACAATCTTTGCAGATTTGTTTGGTATTCTGAGCTCATCTTGAGCTTTGAGATAGTTCTCTTAACAATGCCTTACCTGCCCCACAATGAGGGACCTGCATCCTGGAGCCCAGACAAACCATCTTCTTAGGTCTCCTTCAATTCACCTGGGCCTTAGACAAGTCTGTTGTGTCCCCAGGTAGTTACCTTTTTCCCTTGAACTCCTTTACAGCCAGATTAGTCTCCGGATTCTCTGACCCATCATTACAGAAATGTAGGTGCTGGAGCAAGGGAGCAGGGAGCGAGCAGTCAAATCACAGGTACAACAGGAAATCTGGGACTATCCTTCCAAGTGGCCATCCAGGTTTATGCTAGACTACAGTGAACAAATAGAACAAAGCATTATACCTTGGAGGGTGGGAGGTGTGAAGGGAAGAGAGAGGGAAAGAAGGAGGCAGAACATGTCCACCCAACTACAGAAACTCAGTTACAGCCAGACCCCTCTAGTTTTCTCTCCTGAGCATGCATGTGATGCACTTTTCTTCTGAGCGCAAGTTGCGTGAGGAGCTTCAGAGTAGTGCTGGCTCCTGCTTGGTGACCTCCATTTCAGCTGGTCAGCTGTCTGGTGCATTGGAGCATAGGGGATGGATGGAGAGGCTGTGTCCAGGTTGTGACTGTAGGGCAGATGCAGACCTTCCCTGTTGAGGAGAATGAATCAGGGACAAGATGTGCGAGATTGCAATGCTTTGTAACCCCTAGTGGATTATTTTAAAAAATGGATAAAAATCTCTTCACTGTAGAGGAGGACTGAGATGCTTTGCAGAAACACTTATTATACAGAAGCTGTAACTCTGAAGTATAAAGCATTTGTGTGCTCAAAATACAGATATAAGTCAATGGAAAACAAACTTCGCTGGTGTGACCCCACCACCAGTGAGACCTGACATGGTCCCACCATGTTGGCTTAGACCATGTCCTTAGAACAGTAGCTGCTCAACCTTTAATAACCTTGTCATCTTCTTTCTGATTAAGGGGAGGGCCTTATTTGCTCAGAAAAGGGCTCTTCTGGAAATCATTTGTGTTCCTTTTGTGCTATCAATAGGTCCATACAGCATTCCTGAGTTAAGAAATAAGAAGGGTGACAATAAAGATTGAACATTCACTTACAGACTGAAAAAAATACTGCTTGTACAGAGATTTTCCCTGATGTCAGCCATTAGCTGCTTTGTTGCGCTCCTTGGATAATGTGTCTGCTCAATGCCAAGTCTTTGCTAGGGACATCCTCCTTCCCTGATAAGTGGCAAAGTTAAAGCAACATTTGTTGCTGTCAAATTATTAAAGCAATCTTTCTTGTGGGTTTAGTGTCTGCTTCAAACAGACACCGCTAGCTGGAATTCTAACAGCACAAAAATTGGGAAATATTTGGAATTGTAAAGGAATTGTAAGAAATTGGGTGCTCAAATCCTTTAATTTGCAACAGAATTTGGTCTGGAAACGTGTTTGCTTTTTGATAATGATGGCCTCAAAACTTGATGATCATAACCTTGACCATAGCAGCAGCCTGAATACTCATTGTCCTTGTTTTGCAGTGTCACGCTTCTAACGGTCGTATTTTTCCACACACAAGGGAGGAAAAATTGTCATGATTATTCCTCTGTTAACTTCTTGATACTTACCGCTCGATTTCCCCCCTCTTTGTTTTCTTCCAGTTTGCCACTTCGAGGTGGCTACGCATTCCTATTTATTTTCCTGGCTGCCTTTGTTCTTTCCACTCTCTCTGGTCCCTCCTGCCCGAGGGGCTCCCCGGTCCTCCGGGTCGGGTGGCTTCCACTGCCCCTCTGCGGCTCCCTCCTCGAGCCCTCCTAATCTCAGACAACAAGCCGCTCTTTCCACTCTCCCGAAAAGAGCTCGCTTTGCAATATTTTTGCCAGTGCTCGCTGCCCCGGCTGAAGGCACGCTGACGCCTGTCCAGGTACACAGCCGCCCCAACACCAGCTGCCGTACAACATGGCGGCACCCGCCGCCCGCCCGCCCCGCCGGCACAGAGGAAGCGTCCGCCGCTCTAAGCCTCCCGGTGCGTGTGGCGACTGCCCCGCGGGGGGTTCCTGCCGCCGGACGCAGCCGTTCCACGAGACGCAGGCAGCGAGCGGGTCGGTGGGCGCCCAGCGAGGCCCGCGGGCGGGCGGCGGGGCCGGGCGCGGGGGGAGAGGCTGCTCCGCGCGTCCCGGGGGCGGCCGCGCCCGCAGGCGCCTCGGTACGCGGTCCGGTGCGCCCGCGGCCTCCCGCCTGCTCCCTCCGTGCCGGAGCGGCGTCCGGGCCTCTTCCCGGGATTTCCCCGGGCGAGCCTAAGGTGGGCAGCGCCTTCGCCCTGGAGCCCTGGGCCGGCCCGTAGGAGCGTTCGGCTCGGGCCCCCGACCTTGGCACCGCTGCCCCCGGGCTGGGCAGGGTCCATGTTGTCTCATCGAGGCTTCCCTGCCCCGGCGGGATGGGGGGATCCGCACGAGGGGCTGCCTGGGATCACAGGCAAGAGGGGCTGTAGGTGCGCGTGGCCCTGCTTGTGTTCAGCCTTCTCGCTCTGTTTAAGAGGCGGGAGGGAATTACTGTCACTCGCAGGCGTTTAGGCAGGTGCCCGGCCCGTGATCGGGGTTCTGACAGCGGTTCTGCAGGGCTGTGGCAGCACCGACACCAGAACTTCTGCTCCTGCGGGAGAGTGTGTCAGGGCAGCTCTTTAGAAACTACGCGGTGGGTTGGGAAGGTGGGGATGCAGGGGCAGGATTGATTTCAGTTTACTGAAGGGGTACTAAGCTTTTGTATGATAGAGGAAAAGCTGTGTTATGAATAGATGCTGCTTCTTAAGGGCTTTTCAATGCCTGAAGAACCATTTGACCCTAATATGGATGTGAATGTAATGGCCAAATGCCTATTGCTTACTAATGCATGAACCAACATGCTTATTCTGCAGCAATTCCATTTTACCCTTGTTTAGGTTGATCTAGTTCCAAACTGGACTAAAAGATGTTGGTAATAACCATGACTAGTTTATTTTTGGAATATCAGAGTTCGTTGGAGCATCCAGTTCCACCAGTATAAATTAATGCATTCCCTTTAAGGTGTTCCGTGCTGTAGTCAACAGCAGCATTCAGTCTCCTGTTACTGCTCAATCCGCAACTGCAGTGGTCTGTCCCCCCAGTCTAAGTGGGTCCTTCTTCTGTCAGGATCACAAGTTGTGGCTAGGACCTTGCTATGTATACCACTGCATGTATTTAATATCTCTAAACGTATTTCGTTAAGTTGTCCTTAATTTCCAGTTCTCATTTTTCTTTGCAGGCCATGATGAAATCCTACAATGCCGTTTTGTGTGGGTGAAGTGAAGGGGTAGAAAAGGAAATTAAAAAAAAATGCCCAAGCAAACAGCAGTGACAATAACTTTGGCGACCCTGCTGGGTGTTGCAGTGGGAGGCCTGGTTTTGTGGAAAGCAACCCAACGTCGGAAAGGAAAAGCATGCCATAGTAGTCAGCAAGAAGAAGCAGCTATAAAGTCGGGAGATGAGAAACTCATTAAGACAGAGGATAAGGAGGTGCTTTCCTTCTTCAGATCTCCCACCTTTTCCTGGGTAGAGAGGACCCTTGGTGCAGACATAGTGATAGTTTCAGAGCAGGAGGAATGGAATGGTGTTGAACCATTGCTGAAGAAGGAGCTGGAGAAGTGGCCGGTGCTTGGAATTGATTGTGAGTGGGTGAGTGATCAAGAAGCGCCTCTCCTTTAGATTGCTAACAGTGACGGTGGGGTGATTCCTTTCTTTAAATGGATCTTCTAGGACTGTTAAAACTGCCTGGGGGGTTGTCTATCCTGACAGCAGTGAAATAGCTGCTAATTTTGATTGCTCTTACCTTTAAGTATGCTATGTTTTTAATTAACTATTTACTGAGCTCCTGTGGTAAATCGACTTTACTAAATATAGTGATAATTGTATGGCTAAATATAGCATTATGTGTTTTGTGTACTAGCTCTTTGAAGGTGATTTACTAGAAGTAGCTTGGGTTTACACTATTTTAAATCCAGCCACATTTTTAAGAAACAATATCTTAAGTATAATAAATCCAAAAAGAAGGATAATACTGATACGTAGATAACTCACCGGGACAACCAGAAAGTAAAGTTCCTCTTTTCCTTGTACATTTGCATGTCTGATCTCTCAAAACAGGCTTTAAGCCATTTATAAAGCCTGTCTTTGCCATTGTTTGGGCTGGAAATTTATTCACCCCACAGTCATTACTATAAGCCACAGTTAAACAATGAATTTGCCATAAACATATATATATATATCTATATATATACAGTGGGTGGCTTTGTGCTGATGTGGATTAAGAAATGTGTCTGATTTGTTTCACCAGCTCACCTATGAGGGGGAAGGATGAAAAGGGGAAAGATTCTCTTGTAGGAGTGTGGCAAGAAGTAGCTTGCCACAGTGATACTGTGAAACAGATCACATAATTTGCAGTGAAATTTTAGAGATGTAACAACACTTGACTGATGAGTATTTCCTGTCTTCAGTGGCCTCTTTTGCAATTTGCTCCAGGTCCCGTATTACTAATAATACTGTAACCTGGACTCCTCATTTTTTATTTCATTACAGGTATCTGTGGAAGGAAGAGCAAATCCTGTATCCCTGCTACAGATGGCTTCTTCCAGTGGCCTCTGCATTCTTGTTCGGTTGCCCAGGCTTGTTGCCAGTGGACAAACTCTCCCAAAGACCCTGTTGGACATCATGGCAGATAGTACTGTGTTGAAAGTTGGGGTTGGATGCTGGGAAGATGCTTGCAAGCTGCTTCATGATTATGGCCTTCCAGTCAAAGGGAGTGTGGATCTGCGGTATTTAGCCATGAGACAGCGGTAAGTGCCTGAAGACAGAGGCAGCTCTGTTGGAGGCATCATTTGAGTTGGAAATATTTTTAAAGTAATTTGCATATGCTGAATGATATCAGTCTGGTAGGTCTGGAGTTCTCAGGGTGACTTTAGAGAATGGGCATTGACAGCTGCAGCCCAAGAAGATGTCACGCTTCTATTCTGTGGTCTTAATGGAAATGAAATCTTCATGAGGATTTCATTTGCTAATTGTATCTGTTAGTCTTCTCATGCAATACCCTTATGCACTTTTCTGAGTATCATGCTTCAGCTTTTAAGAAGTCCAAGGACAGTGATGTAATGCAGTGAAAGTGATCACTGTGTCAGCAGATGTTTGAATGCTTAGAAGTATGGGCTACATGTGCCCAGAGCATGTAAGTAGAACTGCTGAATTTCAAGATTTCTTGAAAAATTACTAAATAAACCAGTTCTAATTTTCTCTTTTAATAAAAATGCTTCTGTGGAAAGGTTACAATTATGATACCATTTTCTTATCCTTCATTCTTCCTAAAACAAAATGTTTTACTTGCCTGTATTCTTCATGTACAGTTATATGGATGTCTAGGTGTGGTATTAGTGATCTGGGCCATGGGTTGGCTGACCTGATGGTGCCTTTTTATCACTGAGGATGGATTTCTTGTCTCTAGTGGCCAGGATTCCTCTGAGTCATTCCTGGCTCTTCGGTTCCTCGTGCATCCCTAGGGCAGGCAGTCCATCACTTTATGATGGAACCCTTTAGTTCAGAAGTGAGTATTTCAGAGGCAAACACTTCAGCCTTGACTGTTTTGCATATTGCAGACACAAGATAATTACTAAATCTAGAAAGGACATTTTAATAGAGGGGAGGGAGAGGGCCTTTAAAGCTGACGGGAAGCTCTCTGTTGTTTGGGAGTCATGCATCATGTGCATTATGCTCTGGCAGGTTCAGGGTCTATGAGGTCATCTGAATTTACATGAGTGTATACTTTAATTTTTAATATGTTTGTTTCACTTTTTTTGTTAAATCGAAGGAAGGATCTACTTCACAACTGCCTTAGCCTTAAGTCTTTAGCTGAAAAAGTCCTGAACTGCCCACTTGACAAATCTCCTCATGTGCGTTGCAGCAACTGGGAGGCAGAAGAACTGGCACAAGATCAGGTCTGTCTTCCACTTCAGCTTGGTGTTTTGGGAGGAAAAGTAACCTTCTTAGTAGAAAAAGAGGCTTTACCACAGGGAGATCTGAACCTCTTCAAGGTCTGCCTCAAAACCTTATGTGTGACTGTGGTCTAAAGTTAATTTCAGACTCTCTACCTGCATTTCCATTCTTTTCCTTGAAGATCATTTTCTACTGTTCTCCCTGGATACTTGACCGTTGTTTTCCTTTAGTCCTGAAAGATCTATAAGGCAAGATCCCTTGAAGAAGTGTTTCCAAAACCTCACCTTTTTATTACTTTCTTTTCTTCATTCTGTAGCAGTCAGTGCAGACACTGGAAACCTTCTTTAGAGCATTATAGTTCCCCTGATCGCTCAGTTTCTTTAGTCACGCTGCAGATGTCTGCGATATCAGTGACCAGTAGAGGGAGTGACAGGACAAAGAACCACGCTGAATATTCGTAGCCAGGGGAGGGCTTGGTGGGGTAGGAGGATGTTTTAGGGCCTGGCTGATATGAATTTTTTCACTCCCTTGCAGTTCCTGGGGGCACCCATGAGTACTTCAAGTCTGACTGACCCTAAAAAAGTGGGGTGTGGTGATGTTATGAGGGTGATGGGGTGGGGTGTGTTGAGTGCCACTCAACTGGCAAAACTTTGAACTTCAGAAGGAAATGAATGCAGCTTCTGGCTTTACTGTACCAAGTGTTGAAGACTAATAATGTTTGGCAGTATTTGCTGTTTGTCCATATCTAGATGTCTGTGCTTTTCTGCAGATTCTCTATGCTGCTAGGGATGCCCAGGTCTCAGTGGCTCTGTTCCTCCATTTGCTGGGATTTGCTGGCCTCCCTGCTACATCTGAAGGTGAAAACTCTGACGCTGCTTGGGAAAAAGCGTTGGGTAAATGCCGGGGCTTGGTGGATATCCCATTTAGGGGAAGAAAAAGTGGCAGCACAGGCGAGGAGAAGAGTGGAGATGGACACTCCCCTCAGA